GCAATTCTTTATTAAGGGTTTACTTTATTCAAAGCTTTGTTTTCACACAAAATGCTAATTCCATTACATTCACAAGTTTCACTGTGCTGTGAAATGCTTTCAGTGACGGAAAGTGGACTGTTTATGCCATGTCATTTTGCTAAGTGTCCCAGCAAGTATTTCAGTGGTCATCATTGTGCTGCCCAATTCGTTTCAGTCTCTACAGGGCTTCCCAGCACATTGCTTTGGTCACATATTTATGATGACCACTACACACTCTTGCCTTGTGGCTTACATGATCAGGGACATCATGTGTTGCTGCCATTCGTGGTTTGCTTCATGCTCCTGGAGAGAGCCCCATCATATTGTAATTTTTGACAAGTTGAGAATTTTCAGCTAATGTTCTAGTACTTAGTATGACAAATATTCCTGTACTGTGACTAGTGAATTTGAATAAGCAATATACCAGCCACTCTACTTCCATCCTATGATCATTAACCTTCATTGGGAACTTGATTGGATCTGGAATCACCTGGGTGTGTCTGTGAGGGAGTTTTCAGAGACATTTTTACCTGAGGCAAGAAGACTTACCCCAAATGCTGGTAGCACCACCCCATGGGCTGGCTCATGAAATGAATCAATAGGAGTAAAGGAACTGAGCTTCCTGCCTGTAGACTTGATGTGACCAACTGCCTCACGCTCCTGCCACCAAGACTTCCCCACCATGATGGACTGTACCCTCAAAACCATGATTCAAAATATACCTTGCTCCCTTAAGTTGCTTTTGTGAAGGCGTTTGTTGAGTCACAGCAATGACAAAAGAAGTTAGTACACATGTGAGGGCTGAAGTTATGTTTTAAGTTTAAATTACTGTACTTAAGAGATCCATAAAACAAAATGCCTCTAACCTGTAAGCCCCACTTGCCTAAGGACCGATAACTTCTTGGAATGCGGGGGGTTGTTGTTCATGTAAGATAACAAGTGACAGGTTTTCACTTCTGTAAACAAGCATGTTTGCACCAGCTGCACAAGATATGTGCTTGGTCACATGTAGGTGGGAGGTACATAGGCAGGAAGTACATCAAGATGTATGCTTGCCCCCGATTGGACAAAGGTGGGAAGTATGTAGCCTTGTGGGTTTTGTCTTTATAAGCACCAGACTAACATTTATTTTTGGCCATTCTCTGGAAATCCCATGTATGGACCTGTCCAGTGTCCATCTTCCTAGCCAATATTTAATTAAGCTTGCTTCAAAGCAGGGTGGTGGTGCATGCTTTTAATGGCAGCACTCTGGAGACAGAGGCAGGCAGGGCAGATTTCTGTGAGTTCAGGGCCAGCCTGATCTACAAAGTGAGTTCCGGGACAGCCAGGGCTACATAGAGAAACCCTGTCTCAAAAAAACAAAACAAAACAAAACAAAACAAAAAAAGAAAAAGAAAAGAAAAGAAAGAAAGAAAAAAAAGATGCTTGTTTTAAGTCACACCCTCCAGGACCAGTCCCATCCTGACCAGCCATTGGGGGCCAAGTACAATCTCTTGATGATTGCTGGGAACTGAGGCAGGAAGGGTTGCCAGGCTTACAAACCGCCAAGCCAAGCAGAAGTTAATTTGGCCCTGGCCTCATGACTTCCTGGGATATCTCCCTGTAAATGGCAGTTAGGGAGCTAGAGCCATTTTTAGCCAAAATACTTTTAATCCAAAGATTCAATATAAGCCCAAACCTTTCAAAGGCCCCAAATGTGTAGGATTTGTCCAAAGTCATCCTTCTATCAGATAAGGCCTTTGATGTGTAAAATAGGTTGTATTGCTCAATTTGTTTTCACTACTAATAACTAAAATGGAATAAGGGAGCTGAAGTTCAACGAGGTTGTTCAGCCTCCCAATTAGATTAGGTGGTGGAGCTTCTTAAACTTATGTCTTCTTTCCTCATCGGAGACTTGACCTCTCTCCCTTTGAACCTATCAGGAATGAGCTGAGGGCTGGAGCGAAGGCTCAATGGTTAAGAGCATTTATTGTCTTGCAGAGGACCCGGGTTCAGTGTTTCATGTCCACATGGCAGTTCACAACTATCTCTAACTCTAGTTCCAGGGTATTCAACACCCTCTTGGGCACCAGGCATACATGAACTACACATACATACATGCAAATAAAACACTCATAAAACAAAATCTAAAAATCCATTTAAAAAATGAAGGAGTGGAGTGACTCATTTATCTCTGCATGGTCAACACACTTGGATTGTCTTCTGTCTGCATCATCAGGGCAGCGTCACCAAATACCTTGGAAGAGTGTATGGTAGGAGGATGTGAATGAAATGACAAGACAGGGAATTGAATGCTAAGTGCACTTTATAAAACCTAGTTGTTTGTGAGCCCGTTCAGAAATTTGATTTAAAAAAAAGGAGAGAGAGAGAGAGAGAGAGAGAGAGAGAGAGAGAGAGAGAGAAGGGAAAGGCCATCAGCAGCCCTGGGGGCACAGAGGGAGAATGCAAGCATTCAACAGGAGAGGTGGGACTGGGCCAGTAGCAGGAAGTGTCTGAGCAAGGATAGTGACAGCAGAATCCGACTACTTTGGAAATCCAGATGAAAACCTAAGTAAGCCATCTGTATTTCTTGCTTTCAACTACCTGTTTTCAGCTGACTGTAAAACTCACTAATTCTGGAGGCTATGCAGCCCAGGATGTTCTTATTCGCCCTCCCTCAGCCCTGCTGTACATGACACTTCTGACCTGTGGGTCATGGTGGTAACAGTTGCCTAGTGCACTTCTCAGGGGTTTAAAGGCTGCTTATGTTGTACCTTCCAAGTAGTCCCTTGGGCCTGTGCAGAAGTCCAATGTGTGTGACCTTTTGATGTGTGAGGTGTGTGTGAAAGCTCCACCCACGGCTCTTGCTAATATCATGGGTCTTGCTAATGCTGTTGTTTTATGAACAAGTGTTCCATGGAGAGCCATGAAGATTAATTACATATTCATAGAGCGTCGACTGTGTCCCCTTTAATCACCTTTCAGCCTACTTCTTTATCCCATAAATATCCCTGTGCTCTCTCCTCTGGAAGGCAGGTTTGAGATTTCGGTCTCAGCCTTTCACATTTTCACTGCCACTTTGTGAATATACTCTTTCTCTTTTTGCAAAATTCATTGTTTTGGGATGAGCAGATACTTCATGGAACTGCTCCAGGAAATGTCCCATAGCTAGGTACAAAAAGAAAGGAGAGAGAGAGAGAGAGAGAGAGAGAGAGAGAGAGAGAGAGAGAGAGAGAGAGAGAGAGAGAGAGAGAGAGACAGAGACAGAGACAGAGACAGACAGAGACAGAGACAGAGGACAGAGAGACAGAGGGATACAGAGACACAGAAAAAAATCAGGGACTAGAAATAAAGCTAGAAAGCATTGAAAGCCCCCAATCTACAAGCTTCAGACAACTTAAACAAACAAAGGGAGAACTCAGGACCTGCTTAGCAAATTTAAAGAGGAAGGACAGGCGTTTAGGCCAGGATCCAACAATACCACCACGGGGTTATATTTTTTTTATCTCTCTCTTTCTCTTTGTGACTGTCCTGCTCCAGGGTGGTCTGACCTGAGTGAGAAATTTGGGTTACATACTTATGATCAGGAAATTCTCCAATCCTAAAGGGTTGTGGTAGACAGATCTGAACACAACTATTTACACAATTGTGTGGTAACTGCTGTAATAGAATGTGTGTGTGTCTTCCTGTTTTATCTATGCACAGTGCTCAGAGAGATCAGTGCTATTTAATTCCCTCTGATGAGCCATACCACCAGCAGTAGGAGCACTTTAGGCACAGAAAAGAAAAAAAAAAAGGCCTTGTGCTCCCTTCCAGGGCAGCTATGGGAACAAAGAGAAGAATCATGGTGCCACCCAAGTTGACATGTGGATGAGTGTTGTAGAATAATATTTTAAGTTATGTTATTTTTGTTTATACTGTGTTCGTTAAACTATGGGAAGCTGTGTTACTGTGCCTGTCTAACACACCTGATGGTTTAATAAAAAGCTGAATGGCCAATAGCAAGGCGGGAGAAAGGATAGGTGGGGCTGGTAGGCAAAGAGGATAAATAGAAAAGGAAGATCTAGGAAAAAGAGAAAAGAGATGGAGGAGTGAAGAGAGAGGAGATGATCTAGCAGCCAGAGAAGGAAGAGGACTCCAGGGGCCAGCCACCCAGCTACACAGCAAGCCATGGAGTAAGAGTAAGATTTACAGAAGTAAGAGAACAGGAAAAGCCCAGAGGCAAAAGATAGCAGGGATAATTTAAGCTAAGGAAAGCTGGCTAGAAATTAAGGCACGCTAAGGCAGGGCATTCTTAATTAAGAATAAGCCTCTGTGTGTGATTTATTTGGGAACTGGGTGGCAGGCCCCCACAAAAGAGTAAAATACCAACAACAGCAGAGGAGACTGAAAGATGCACACATGCAGGAACACTGAGGGGCATGGGCTTTCGGAGGAATCTCAAACACTCAGACATGTGAAGAGCAGGGCATGGAGAAAGGTTCAGCAGTTAAGAGCACTGACTGTTTTGCCAGAGGACCTGGGTTTGATTCCCAGCACCCACATGGTGGCTCCCAAGTAAATGTAACTCCAACCACAGGGGATATGGTGCCCTCTTTTTGCCTCCAAGGACACAACATGCACATGGTGCGCAATCATACATGCAAGTGCAACACACACACACACACACACACACACACACACACACACACACGTTTTGTTTGTTTAATTCCAGGTCTTTGGGAGATGTTAGCATTGTTAGGCTGCTCTCCATAAAAGGATGATGGTCAAGTTTAATTTATTCATACACCACAAGGTTATTCACACACACCAGCATTCCTGTGTCGCCCTTGTTTAGAATGATAAACCTTCTGGGAGCTCTGCTTTGGCTTCCCAAAACTGAGGTATAGTTTTAGTCTATTTGTGTGTCCCCTGAACCTCCCATTTCTAGATTTCCTTTTTGTCTTGAAAATATTTCCCATTAGCATGAAAGGTAGAGGAATAGCATAGTAAACATCAAGTTCTATGGTTTGAATAATGATGTTTATTTCCTTTAAATACATTTAAATATGAAACATCAGGCAGTGGTTCAGGAAACTTGAAAAGTACAAGCTGAACAGGAATTACATCAGTGCTGATCATACAAATGAAATTCCACATAAGAAAGAACCAGAATAATTCATAAGCATTGCACTCGGACTTTGCCAGTCTAAGTGATGAATCACATGGCACCTGCTAGTCGATGGCAAGCAACCCTTGCTCATTCATCAAAACAATGGGCTCCCCCAGACCCCTTCCTCTCTGAGCACTGGTGTGCAGAGGCATCTGAAGCTAGAAGTAATCTGTCAGTGACCCAGAGAATCACCCAGCAGCTACTGCATGGAAATGTGGATTCACCATGGCACTAGAGAAAATCGATTTCTCTAACACCTGGGGGTGGGCACCAGTGAGAGCAACTAGCCAAAGCAGCATGCTCTTTACAGTGACAGGGGTGGGGAACTTGGCAGAAAGCTGAATCAAGGATTCTCCTGACTGTGGAGTCCCTGGGCCCTTCTCTCCTTTGGAAAGCGCCAGTGCTTTCCACAGGCTGGCTTTCTATTTGCACATGTTCTGGTATGAAAAGGACATCTGTCCTCACAGCTGTAGAAAGGAAAGTGAAGACGAGACTTTAGAGGCAAGGATCAACTTCAGATAAAGCATTCAGTTCTGATTTCATTTGATTCTGCTTTCAAAGGAGAATTTCCAGACATGTATTTAAAGTGTCAATGTAATATTTTAAATGGGCACTCAACCGGCTGAGGGCTCAGCCTTATCCAAGATGTTGATGCTGCCTCCTCTAAAGCTCGAGGCACGTAACAGAAGAGGGGTTGGGAAAATGTCAGCATCACAAGACAGAGAGAAGGACTAGGAAATACCATCCTCTAGGCATGTCACAGCCTTTGCAATCAGGACCTCATAGCAGCAGCAAGAATCTGCCCTAGCCCTACACAAGATGAAACTTCTCAATAGCTACTTGCGCATTTGTGAGGGGCTCTTGGGGCCCTACCCCTCTGTAATGAACTGTGGGCTGGCTACTGATAGAGTCTGGGAGACGGGGAGTCACCGTCTTCAGTTGTGGATCTACTGGTGGGTGAGCGGAATGAGCTCTGACAGAGAGTTCCAAACCTGTGGTCACACAGATGGCCCCAACTGCCCTTAATGGGTCACAAAACAAAACATAAAGACCTGGGTGTAGGAAAGGGACTTGCAGGGAGGAAATGAGTTGATAAGAGTGTGCTGGGGTTCAAAGAATGTAGGCGTAAAAGTAATTAGAATGCATTTTATATTTATATGTGCATGAAATTTTCAAAGAACAAATTTAATTATTTAAAAAAAATCTCCGTGGTTAGTTTGGGTAGATTTTGAAATTGATCAAAGCCCAATCAACGACCTCTAAGAATTATAGTCATCCATAAGTTTCTTGCCTACACGAATCTAGTGCTACCTCTTCATCAAGAAAACACACACACACACACACACACACACACACACACACACACACACACACACAGAGAGAGAGAGAGAGAGAGAGAGAGAGAGAGAGAGAGAGAGAGAGAGAGAGAGAGAGAATTAGTCTGCTGATCTGAACCTCTCTTAACCTGGTTGCTTAAATGTCAGTGACTTCTTTTTTTTGCTTATGATAGCATAATAGCAGGCATGGTGGTGCAGGTCTGTAATTCATGAAATCCTGTTTTGGAACAACAACAAAAAGTTAATCATTACTCTATATACTTCCACTTAAGTCTTAGATGCCAAACCTCTGTCTGTCTTATTAAGGGGGTGCTTGGGCAATGAGAAAAAGGAGCCCCATGAAATCAGATTAGGATGCCCTTTAAATGCCACCAGTCAAGCAAGTTAAGGGGTAAGCGAAAAGACCATTGACCTGCAGGTTTCCGGGTGAAAAATCTTGTGCTTTTGGCAGCAGCTCTCCAGACTTTCTTTGCATTCAAAGCAACTGCAGTTTTCTGGGTGCTGAATGAGATCACCAGCACATGATGTTTTGCAGACACACTCACAACGATCTTCATCAAACTTCATGTGTGGTCCACAGAGAACTGGTTCCTGGAGGTAAGAGAGGTCTAAACAGAAACAGAAAAGTGTTGGTTTGGCAGCCGAAGCCTAGAGGATCCAATGATCCAAATTAATTGCAAGTTCTACATCTTCCCAATAAAACGTGGATCCTCCCAATTTCCTTGCCTGTAGATTTTTGGCCTTAATTTTCTTCATAGGGTGAGTAAGATACATCTGTGATTTCACAACATAAACATATAACTCATATGTTTTCTTAGGTTTTTAATAAAAACTATCATAAGCTGAATATTTCCGACAGATTTTTATGTTGCCGAGTGACCTGTTAAGAATATATACTTCTGTGCTGGAAAGATGGCTCAGGGCTTAAGAGAACTCCCTGCTCTTGCAGAGGACCGGGGTTTGGTTTTCAACACCCAAGTGGTGGCAATTTAAAATTACCAGTACAATCCCAGAGGGTCTGTCGCCCTCTTCTGGCCTGCACAGGCACTGCATGCAAACCACGTGCAGACAATGACGGCAAAACACTCATACACAAAATTAAAATAAATCTTTAGCTACACACACACACACACACACACACACACACACACACACACACACAAACTTATGCAACCAGCCAGTAGTGACAAGACACAGGAGTATGAATGTAGTCCTTGCCAGTGTTTCAGGAGAGTGGGAACCAGGAGTACTGATGTTGTAGAAATATTTTCCCCAGGACTTCCAGATAACCAATGATGCATTTCCTCGTCTCAGATCACCACACTTGTATGAAACACATAAAGGTGACAATGAACTGCGGTCCAGTCTCAGCCAGTGAACTGGAATTCATTGCCCAAAGAGGAAGAAGAGGTGGGGGAGGGGTGACTCCACTGGTAGAATGCTGTCCTAGGGCCCACTAGAAGTTCTGCGTTCAGTCTCCAGTGACTCCTAAACTGGGTGTGGTGACCCATGACTGCAATCCTAGCACTCACTCCAGAGGTAGAGGCAGGAGGATCAAAAGTTCAAGGCCATCCTCTGTTACACAACGTGTTTAAGGCTAGGCTGTAGCACGGAAGCATCCGTCTCCAACGAAAAGCAAACAAGTGGAGAAGGTGAAAAGTTTGGAAGAACTCGTACTTTTCGCCTCAGCATTCGTGACGGTTTTGGAAGAAGATGGCTATCTCTTCCCCAAACCGGCTTCTTTTTCCGTTTGCCTCATTTGGGGACTGGCACCATTGTCCACTAGACTGTGTGGTCACTGTGTCCACTTGGTCCCTTGTCCATACCCTCCCTTCTCCACTGCGCTACCTCTGTCACAAGTCACTTGTATTTCTTATATTGGTGGCTGCCACTCGTGTCACAGCCCCAGCGTGTATCTCTTCAGTCTTCCCCTCAGGTGACTATCAAATGCAAACCTGATCCCATCTCTCGGTAACCCTGGCTATCCTGGAACTTGCTATGTAGACCAGACTGGTCTAGAACTCATAGAGATTCACCTGCCTCTGCCTCTTGAATGCTGGGATTAAAGATGTGAGCCACCATGCCCAGCCATGCTTTAAATGTCTTCAAGTTTGCCTTCACACACAAAAGGGCAAATTTTATACCAGAATCTATAATCATTAAAAGACCTTCCATGACCTTGACCCCTCATTCTCACCCCTCCCTTCCTCTTTTCTCCCCCACATCATCCCCAAATAGCAATCTCTCATGATCCAGTCTCACGGTTTTGACTGCTCTTTAATTGACACATATTTAGAAATTACGTGGACTGGATATCCACAAAGACGCCATTCTTTGTTTCATGAAGAGGAAAAAGATGAGCAGCATATGCTGTAAGTCACTGAGGCAAATGTCAATTTAGGTCAGGGCTAGATGACTGAAAAACAGTTAAGACTCTTAAGAGAGTCATTGAGCACTAGGTGGCAGCAGAGACACACATGAAAGTGTCATGCAGTCCCAGCTCCATTCTTAGAGTAGTTTAGGGGAACACAGTCCTGAGGTGTTCAGCAGGTTACATAGCAGAAGCAGAACGTTATGTCCTTACAAGCAAGTTAAAGGGAACAGAGACTGGATGCAGGAGAACTAGGTCAAACAGCAACCAGCTGAGGCTGACACCCCGAAGTCTTACATATCGATTTCCATCCCTAGGGAGGTTGACTCTGGGTTCCCGCTGCATTCTGTCCTTGGCCTTCTTTCATTCACTACTATTACTATGTTTTATTCATTATAGAAATGATAGGAAAATGAGTCGGATTTGC